CAGGGTAGAGGCAGCACCTACAGCAGGGTAGAGGCAGCACCTACAGCATGGTAGAGGCAGCACCTACAGCAGGGTAGAGGTAGCACCTACAGCAGGGTAGAGGCAGCACCTACAGCAGGGTAGAGGTAGCACCTACAGCAGGGTAGAGGCAGCACCTACAGCAGGGTAGAGGCAGCACCTACAGCAGGGTAGAGGCAGCACCTACAGCAGGGTAGAGGCAGCACCTACAGCAGGGTAGAGGCAGCACCTACAGCAGGGTAGAGGCAGCACCTACAGCAGGGTAGAGGCAGCACCTACAGCAGGGTAGAGGCAGCACCTACAGCAGGGTAGAGGCAGCACCTACAGCAGGGTAGAGGCAGCACCTACAGCAGGGTAGAGGCAGCACCTACAGCAGGGTAGAGGCAGCACCTACAGCAGGGTAGAGGCAGCACCTACAGCAGGGTAGAGGCAGCACCTACAGCAGGGTAGAGGCAGCACCTACAGCAGGGTAGAGGCAGCACCTACAGCAGGGTAGAGGCAGCACCTACAGCAGGGTAGAGGCAGCACCTACAGCAGGGTAGAGGCAGCACCTACAGCAGGGTAGAGGCAGCACCTACAGCAGGGTAGAGGCAGCACCTACAGCAGGGTAGAGGCAGCACCTACAGCAGGGTAGAGGCAGCACCTACAGCAGGGTAGAGGCAGCACCTACAGCAGGGTAGAGGCAGCACCTACAGCAGGGTAGAGGCAGCACCTACAGCAGGGTAGAGGCAGCACCTACAGCAGGGTAGAGGCAGCACCTACAGCAGGGTAGAGGCAGCACCTACAGCAGGGTAGAGGCAGCACCTACAGCAGGGTAGAGGCAGCACCTACAGCAGGGTAGAGGCAGCACCTACAGCAGGGTAGAGGCAGCACCTACAGCAGGGTAGAGGCAGCACCTACAGCAGGGTAGAGGCAGCACCTACAGCAGGGTAGAGGCAGCACCTACAGCAGGGTAGAGGCAGCACCTACAGCAGGGTAGAGGCAGCACCTACAGCAGGGTAGAGGCAGCACCTACAGCAGGGTAGAGGCAGCACCTACAGCAGGGTAGAGGCAGCACCTACAGCAGGGTAGAGGCAGCACCTACAGCAGGGTAGAGGCAGCACCTACAGCAGGGTAGAGGCAGCACCTACAGCAGGGTAGAGGCAGCACCTACAGCAGGGTAGAGGCAGCACCTACAGCAGGGTAGAGGCAGCACCTACAGCATGGTAGAGGCAGCACCTACAGCAGGGTAGAGGTAGCACCTACAGCAGGGTAGAGGCAGCACCTACAGCATGGTAGAGGCAGCACCTACAGCAGGGTAGAGGTAGCACCTACAGCAGGGTAGAGGCAGCACCTACAGCAGGGTAGAGGCAGCACCTACAGCATGGTAGAGGCAGCACCTACAGCAGGGTAGAGGTAGCACCTACAGCAGGGTAGAGGCAGCACCTACAGCAGGGTAGAGGTAGCACCTACAGCAGGGTAGAGGCAGCACCTACAGCAGGGTAGAGGCAGCACCTACAGCAGGGTAGAGGCAGCACCTACAGCAGGGTAGAGGCAGCACCTACAGCAGGGTAGAGGCAGCACCTACAGCAGGGTAGAGGCAGCACCTACAGCAGGGTAGAGGCAGCACCTACAGCAGGGTAGAGGCAGCACCTACAGCAGGGTAGAGGCAGCACCTACAGCAGGGTAGAGGCAGCACCTACAGCAGGGTAGAGGCAGCACCTACAGCAGGGTAGAGGCAGCACCTACAGCAGGGTAGAGGCAGCACCTACAGCAGGGTAGAGGCAGCACCTACAGCAGGGTAGAGGCAGCACCTACAGCAGGGTAGAGGCAGCACCTACAGCAGGGTAGAGGCAGCACCTACAGCAGGGTAGAGGCAGCACCTACAGCAGGGTAGAGGCAGCACCTACAGCAGGGTAGAGGCAGCACCTACAGCAGGGTAGAGGCAGCACCTACAGCAGGGTAGAGGCAGCACCTACAGCAGGGTAGAGGCAGCACCTACAGCAGGGTAGAGGCAGCACCTACAGCAGGGTAGAGGCAGCACCTACAGCAGGGTAGAGGCAGCACCTACAGCAGGGTAGAGGCAGCACCTACAGCAGGGTAGAGGCAGCACCTACAGCAGGGTAGAGGCAGCACCTACAGCAGGGTAGAGGCAGCACCTACAGCAGGGTAGAGGCAGCACCTACAGCAGGGTAGAGGCAGCACCTACAGCAGGGTAGAGGCAGCACCTACAGCAGGGTAGAGGCAGCACCTACAGCAGGGTAGAGGCAGCACCTACAGCAGGGTAGAGGCAGCACCTACAGCAGGGTAGAGGCAGCACCTACAGCAGGGTAGAGGCAGCACCTACAGCAGGGTAGAGGCAGCACCTACAGCATGGTAGAGGCAGCACCTACAGCAGGGTAGAGGCAGCACCTACAGCAGGGTAGAGGCAGCACCTACAGCAGGGTAGAGGCAGCACCTACAGCAGGGTAGAGGCAGCACCTACAGCAGGGTAGAGGCAGCACCTACAGCAGGGTAGAGGCAGCACCTACAGCAGGGTAGAGGCAGCACCTACAGCAGGGTAGAGGCAGCACCTACAGCAGGGTAGAGGCAGCACCTACAGCAGGGTAGAGGCAGCACCTACAGCATGGCTCGGCTCTCCCTCCTGCTGCACCTCCGCCCCTTCCTCCGCCTCCTCGCCCTCCCCACCATCCCCCCTCCCCTTTGCAGCGCCCAGCGCGTCCACATAGAGCGGGTAGAGCTCCTCCCACACCTCCCCTCGCGGCCCCCTCTCTGCCTCCGTTATAAGCAGCTTCAGCAAGCGGAGAGAGTAGGCGCGATCAGCAGCGAAACGAGGACCTAGCTGGGGGCGGTAGTGGAGGGGAGGGAGGGTGGGATGGAGGTAGATAAGTGGGCGGTGAGAAGTGAGTGAGTGTAAACAGCTGAGATTGAGATGCGAGAGAGTGGGAGAGATGTGGTTAGCTTAGCTCTTTGCCCTCAGCCCTGAGCCCTCTGAGGCTACTTAAGCCCTGCTAGTGCCCATCTTTCCTCATTGTTCAGTTGAGTTTTGAAATCGGCTGGAGAGAGCGAGAGAGAGGGTTTGGGGAGCAGAGAGTGGGGAGCAGAGAGTGGGGAGCAACAAGGAAATCCAGTCAGGGTCGAACTGAGATGTGACTGTAGCACGCTGATGTGTGATACTAAATGTCGTGTGTGACTGTGGCAGTGGTGGTGTGACTAACCGGGTGTGACTGTAGCATGGTCACTAGCTGTTGTTGCACGGCCTCTGTCAAATTGCCTTCATGTCCTTTCCTGCACCGTGCGTTGGAATGGCATGGGATGGCATGGGATGGCATGGGATGGCATGGGATGGCATGGGATGACGAGATGACATGAGATGACATGAGATGACATGGGATGGTGTGCGGCATTGTGTGCGATGGAAGCATGAAGTCTAAATCAGGAACGAAATGAAAAATAGGATGCCGTACGCTGATTGGTGGCTTACGTAGCACATTCAATCACAGCCGTCGGTGGCTCCATCCGCCAAATCATGCACTGAGCCGCCCATCGCCAGTTGTCAGGTGCGTTGTCCTCGATACAAGGACACTCGCCACTAGCAGGTGCATCAGCAGCTGCAGCAGCAGCCATTGTGCGTGTAACGGGGAGGCCTAAGACGCGTGCGCGGATAGGCGTCAAGGGAGCGAGGCTGTGGGAAACACCAGGAACGACACTCCTAGTGGCAGCAATAGGAGGACGCGATTCTAACGAGGTACTGGTTGGAGGCGTACTAGGGGGGAGTACTAGAAGGCGGTATAAGGAGGCGCGGTGTTAGCATGTTGTGAGAAGGGTTTGCAATCGTGGTCGTCTGATTGGGACACGTGGCAATGCGAGGCCTTTGTATAACAAGATTCACCTGCCTTGTCAGTCTGACGTCATCGCACAGCTCTTTTGAGGACTCTCTAACGGCATCGCGAAGCTATGCTGCGGCCAACTGGCAATGATAATCGCGGGCGCGGCTATGGAAATGGTCCTCTTCTCGCGTCGAATAGCCGCCGGCAATATCGCTGTCTGCAGGCCCCCAATGCAAAGTGGTGTGCGCGTTTCGAGGTAGTCTCATAAGCAGGAGCTGACGGATGTGTGACAAAGGCGAGACTGTTGGAAAGCAAATGGCATTTTCGATTCTGGGAAGGTTTCGTTCCGTGTTTCGAGACGCGACAAATGAAACTCGCATCGAACTTCTTCGCAGGTGAAATTCGCGAATTCAGGGACTCAAGGTTACGGAATGCAGAGGGGAAATAGGGAGGAGCTTGAATTTCGCGAATCTCGTTTGACCCCTCGTTCCCAAACCGCTCACGATTTAGTTTCTCTCATCTGCTTCGCAATAGCGTACTCTTGTTCCATGGGATCGAACCTAGTTCAGCACGCGAAACGAAACGCAAGATCACAGGTGTGTGTGTGGGGTTTGAGGACGCGTCCCCTCCCTCGATCGATCCTGCGTAGGATCGATCCTGAGCTCGGTTTAAAGAGGTTCAAAAAGTTGAAAATTAGCAAACGCAGGGTTTCAGTGCGGTGGAGGATTGATCTCCCTTAATTTTGCACGATCGATCGAGGGAGGGGACGCGTACTGAGTTTCCAAGACCATTCCGCTCCACCCAGAGGTAATTGGGTCCTACCCCTACAAATTGACATGACTCGTCCAAATCGAGAGTTCGCCTGCGCGTTCCCAACGGCTACTTCGAGCGCATGCCTTTCATTCCTCCAGATCGACACTGCCTGTGGCTGTGCGCTCGTGCATGCCGTCGTTCCGCGCGACCGACTAACGAATCGGCCAATCACAAGTCAGGCTGACCTGTCGCTGTGCTTGTAGGGCGCTGAAAGCATTCAAACGAAACGCTTCACGCGCATAGCATGCTTTAAGAGGCAGTGACTGTAACTGGTAACGAACGTGTAGTGGCACATCTTAGCGCATCGCATTCAAGCGCTTCTAAGTGCACCTGTACTTTGGGTTTCACGCGCCCGCAGCCATGGCCTCACAGCCGCGGTCCTTCCTTTCCGCCGCGCCTCCGCTCATCCCCGCCTCTCCGCCTCCCCCGCAGTTACCATACACCCCTCCCCCGGCGGCTCCCTCCCCCCCGCCTCCCGCCAACTTTGCGCCACGCCCGCTTTCCGCCCCGCACCCGTTATCCGCCCCGCCGTATCCGCTCTCCGTTCCGCCGCATCCGCTGCCCGTCTCCACGCGCAAGCCTGCAGCGAAATGGGTCCGCCAGTGGTGAGTTGACTCGTGGCACCAAATTTGTGACTTGTGAGTGCGTGTGTGTGCTCTCTCGTCTTCTCTCGTCCTTGCCGCCCGCGTTGCCGCCCCCGTGCCCTTTACCTGCTCGCCCTGATCTGCTCCCTTTATACGCCCTTATCCCATATTTTAAGCTGATAAGCTTTCGTGTGCTCGGCGCGCTATGGCTCCCTCCATACGCGTTACAGGGTGGTGCAGGAGACGGTTCTCAACAACGGCAAGTGCAAAGTACTTAAATGGGTCAAACGTGAGTCAAACGGGTCAAAAGTGAGTCAAACGGGTCAAACGTGAGTCAAGCGGAACGTGAGTCAAGCGGGTCAAACGTGAGTCAACCGCATTCACACACACAGTGCACAACCTACCCGCGCACAGTGATAGTACCACTACCTGCCAGCCATACCCCTGCTCCACCCGTCACCTGCTCCTCTTCTTGCCCTTACGGTGCTGTTAAGATGCGAGCAACTGCCTCTCCATGCCTCAATCCTTCTTTCCCTTCCCGCCCCATGTGCTGCCCTTTCCCCCTCCCCTTTCTCCCCTTCTCCCCCCTCTCCCCCCTACCCTTCCGCGTCTTTCCCTTCCCCCAGAGGCGCCGGACCCCCCTCCTGCCAGCGCGCCCAGGTCCGCCTCGCCCTTCCAGCTGCACATGCCGCACCTGCGCCCCTTCCCCCCGCCCCCTTTCCCCCCTGCTTCCTCCGCCACCCCTCCCCCCCCCTCCGCCTCATCCTCCCGCGCGCCAGGCCCCTTCCCCGGCTTCCCCCAATCGCCTGCCAACGCTACCCCTCGTGGTGCCACGTGGCAGGGTGCGAGTGGCGCTGCTGGTGCCTCTGGTGGGGCTGGTATGGGCATGGGTATGGGCTATATGGGAAATAACGCCTCCCCTGGTTACTACCCGCCTCCCCCTCGCCTCTCTAACATGCCTCAGGTCACCCACATGCCAAACCTCCCCCACATGCCCAATCTGAACCTTCCCCAAATGGCAAACATGCCAAATATGGCAAACATTCCAAATCTGCCCAACCTGCCCAACATGCCCAGCATGTCCCATGTGCCGCCCATGCCCAACCTTTCCAACGCCCCCTCGTCCTATGGGGGCTCCTACTCTCAGCAGATGCCCACTTTTGGCTACGGGCAGGTGAACGGGCAGGCTGGGCAGGTCCAGCAAATGGGACAGATGCAAATGCAGCTGCAGCGGCAGCTGCAGCAGCCGGGGCAGATGGGGGGTCAGCAGCAGCAGCAAATGCCCCCTGCGCCTGGAGGGGGCATGCAGGGGCAGGCAGGGCAATGGCAGGGAGGGCAGGGCGGGCAAGGGGGAGGAGCGGACCCCACTCTGTGGGGCTCTCCCATTGCAGCAACTCCACCACCAGCAACGCCAGCAGGAGCAGCAGCAGCAGCAGGAGCAGCGTTGAGAACGCCCTCTCCTCTCGCCCCTGTCGCCGCCCCCACCTCCCTGTCGGGCGGCGGGCCGACCATCTTCCGCCTCTCCCTGCCCTCCGCCGCCCACCTCTCACCTTCTGCTGCCGCCCTTGCCGCCCGTGGCGGCATGCCAGCGGGCGGCCCGTCAGGAATGGCGGGCGGCGGGGCAGCAGGTGGGGCAAGTGGAGGCCAGTCAGGGCCGCCTCATGACGCCCGCTCGCACTCTCCCGCTATCCCACTGGGGCCGGGGCAGGGCGGGCACATGCAGGGGCAGGGGCCGGGGCAAGGTTTAGGGTTGGGGCAGGGGCTAGGGCTAGGGCTGGGGCTGGGGCTGGGACAGGGAATGCAGAATCAGGGGGCAATGGCGCAGGGGAGTGGCGGCGGCGCACTGCCTTTCCCTGGCGCTGGCGTAGGTGGTTCCCCTGCTGCTGTCATGCCCGGGGGCATGCAGGCGGGGGTGCAAGGGCAAGGGCAAGGGAGTATGCCTGGGGCGCACGCACATGCAGCAACAGGGGGGTCGATGCAGGGGCTGGCCATGCTGCAGCTGCCCGCTGCTGCTCATGGCAGTATGGCGGGTGGTGCGGGCACATACCCAGGGGGCGGGGGAGGTGCAGGGGGAGGGGCAGACGGAGGGGGGGGTGTGGGCATGCAGATGAGCGGAGGGGGAGCAGTGGTAGGGGAGGCAGGGAGGGGAGGAGGGGGGGCGTGGGGTGGAATGGGCGCAGCCGCAGCAGCGGGAATGGCCCCTGCAGGCTCCCCAGCTGCAGCAGGTGCTGCAAGCTCAAGCGCCATTCCCATGCCCAGTGCAAGTGGGTTGGGCTGCATGCAAAGCGGTGCAGGTGGCATGCAGAGTGGTGCTGCAGGTGCAGCAGGGGCGGCAGCGGGGGAGGAGCAGGTGACAGCAGCAAGCGGGGGTGGTAGCAGCATAGGAACAGGCCTGGGCTTTGGTCTCTCTGCTTCTGGCAGTGCTGCTGGCGCTGCTGCTGCTGCTGCTACTGCTGCTGCTGCTGCTGCTGCTGCTGGGGTTGGCGGGCCATTGGGTGGAGGTCCGTTTGTGTGCGGTGTGGATGGGTGCGGAAAGGCGTTTCTGGATGCGGGGGGGTTGAGGAAGCACTCGAACGTGCATGGGGAGAGGCAGTTCATGTGTCACTACGAGGGGTGTGGCAAGGTGAGGGTGTGGCAAGGTGAGAGGTCACCGTTAAAGAGAGGCAAATCTGGTTTCCGCCAGACGTTCCTTGCAAATATGTCCATCATTTGCCACGTTTACACTCACATAAGGCATCAATCGACTGGCCAGGTTCAAGCATGTTCTAATCACCTCGCTGCAGGTTTCACGAGCCAGCCACGTGGAGGTTTCACATGGCCGGCCTTGTGTTCACACTATTTCATGTCACGCGTTGATGGCTAGCGGTCGACATGTTACATCCCCCCCCCTCTTCAAACCAGATGGCCTCTCCACAGCCTGATGGCCGATCCACAGCCTGATGGCCGATCCACAGCCTGATGGCCGATCCACAGCCTGATGGCCGATCCACAGCCTGATGGCCGATCCACAGCCTGATGGCCGATCCACAGCCTGATGGCCGATCCACAGCCTGATGGCCGATCCACAGCCTGATGGCCGATCCACAGCCTGATGGCCGATCCACAGCCTGATGGCCGATCCACAGCCTGATGGCCGATCCACAGCCTGATGGCCGATCCACAGCCTGATGGCCGATCCACAGCCTGATGGCCGATCCACAGCCTGATGGCCGATCCACAGCCTGATGGCCGATCCACAGCCTGATGGCCGATCCACAGCCCGATGGCCGATCCACAGCCTGATGGCCGATCCACAGCCTGATGGCCGATCCACAGCCTGATGGCCGATCCACAGCCTGATGGCCGATCCACAGCCTGATGGCCGATCCACAGCCTGATGGCCGATCCACAGCCTGATGGCCGATCCACAGCCTGATGGCCGATCCACAGCCTGATGGCCGATCCACAGCCTGATGGCCGATCCACAGCCTGATGGCCGATCTCTCTTCCTCTCTTGTTTTTCTCTCTTCCTCTCTTGTTGCCCTCTCTTCCTCTCTTGTTTTTCTCTCTTCCTCTCTTGTTGCCCTCTCTTCCTCTCTTGTTGCCCTCTCTTCCTCTCTTGTTGCCCTCTCTTCCTCTCTTGTTGCCCTCTCTTCCTCTCTTGTTGCCCTCTCTTCCTCTCTTGTTGCCCTCTCTTCCTCTCTTGTTGCCCTCTCTTCCTCTCTTGTTTTTCTCTCTTCCTCTCTTGTTGCCCTCTCTTCCTCTCTTGTTTTTCTCTCTTCCTCTCTTGTTGCCCTCTCTTCCTCTCTTGTTGCCCTCTCTTCCTCTCTTGTTGCCCTCTCTTCCTCTCTTGTTGCCCTCTCTTCCTCTCTTGTTGCCCTCTCTTCCTCTCTTGTTGCCCTCTCTTCCTCTCTTGTTGCCCTCTCTTCCTCTCTTGTTGCCCTCTCTTCCTCTCTTGTTTTCCTCTCTTCCTCTCTTGTTGCCCTCTCTTCCTCTCTTGTTTTTCTCTCTTCCTCTCTTGTTGCCCTCTCTTCCTCTCTTGTTGCCCTCTCTTCCTCTCTTGTTGCCCTCTCTTCCTCTCTTGTTGCCCTCTCTTCCTCTCTTGTTGCCCTCTCTTCCTCTCTTGTTGCCCTCTCTTCCTCTCTTGTTGCCCTCTCTTCCTCTCTTGTTTTCTCTCTTCCTCTCTTGTTTTTCTCTCTTCCTCTCTTGTTGCCCTCTCTTCCTCTCTTGTTGCCCTCTCTTCCTCTCTTGTTGCCCTCTCTTCCTCTCTTGTTGCCCTCTCTTCCTCTCTTGTTTTCCTCTCTTCCTCTCTTGTTGCCCTCTCTTCCTCTCTTGTTGCCCTCTCTTCCTCTCTTGTTGCCCTCTCTTCCTCTCTTGTTGCCCTCTCTTCCTCTCTTGTTGCCCTCTCTTCCTCTCTTGTTGCCCTCTCTTCCTCTCTTGTTGCCCTCTCTTCCTCTCTTGTTGCCCTCTCTTCCTCTCTTGTTGCCCTCTCTTCCTCTCTTGTTGCCCTCTCTTCCTCTCTTGTTGCCCTCTCTTCCTCTCTTGTTGCCCTCTCTTCCTCTCTTGTTGCCCTCTCTTCTCTCTTGTTGCCCTCTCTTCCTCTCTTGTTGCCCTCTCTTCCTCTCTTGTTGCCCTCTCTTCCTCTCTTGTTGCCCTCTCTTCCTCTCTTGTTGCCCTCTCTTCCTCTCTTGTTGCCCTCTCTTCCTCTCTTGTTGCCCTCTCTTCCTCTCTTGTTGCCCTCTCTTCCTCTCTTGTTGCCCTCTCTTCCTCTCTTGTTGCCCTCTCTTCCTCTCTTGTTGCCCTCTCTTCCTCTCTTGTTGCCCTCTCTTCCTCTCTTGTTGCCCTCTCTTCCTCTCTTGTTGCCCTCTCTTCCTCTCTTGTTGCCCTCTCTTCCTCTCTTGTTGCCCTCTCTTCCTCTCTTGTTGCCCTCTCTTCCTCTCTTGTTGCCCTCTCTTCCTCTCTTGTTGCCCTCTCTTCCTCTCTTGTTGCCCTCTCTTTCTCTCTTGTTGCCCTCTCTTCCTCTCTTGTGGCCCTCTCTTCCTCTCTTGTTGCCCTCTCTTCCTCTCTTGTTGCCCTCTCTTCCTCTCTTGTTGCCCTCTCTTCCTCTCTTGTTGCCCTCTCTTTCTCTCTTGTTGCCCTCTCTTCCTCTCTTGTTGCCCTCTCTTCCTCTCTTGTTGCCCTCTCTTCCTCTCTTGTTGCCCTCTCTTCCTCTCCTGTTGCCGTCTCTTCCTCTCTTGTTGCCCTCTCTTCCTCTCTTGTTGCCCTCTCTTCCTCTCTTGTTGCCCTCTCTTCCTCTCTTGCTGCCCTCTCTTCCTCTCTTGTTGCCCTCTCTTCCTCTCTTGTTGCCCTCTCTTCGTCTGTTGTTGCCCACCCACTGGCAGCGGTTTGTGGACAGCAGCAAGCTGAAGCGCCACTTCCTCATCCACACGGGCGAGAAGCGCTTCTTCTGCCCCTATGAGGGGTGCGGCAAGGTGATGAGGGGTGCAGCAAGGTGATGAGGGGTGCAGCAAGGTGATGAGGGGTGCGGCAAGGTGATGAGGGATGCGGCAAGTTGTGTTTTCCTTCGCAGGGTAAGTCTGGGGAATGCGATTTCGGGCTCCCTCCTTGCTCCCTAACCGCCCCCCTTTCCCCCTTGCTCCCTAACCGCCCCCCTTAACGCCCTTGCTCCCGAACTTCCCCCCTGTCCCACTTGCTCTCTAACCAGCCCCCTTTCCCCCTTGCATTCTAATTTCTTTCCCTCTGCTCCCCCCTACCCGGTCTCTCACATCTCCCCCTCTCACATCTCCCCCTCTGCCTGCTCACCTCTGCCAACCATTTCCCTTTGCTGCGCAGCGCACATGCATGGCCGAGCACATGCATGGCCGAGCACGCGCTCCAGTTGGGCCATTTTTGAGGCGCCTTGAAAGGCGCCTAAAGAATCGATCCTGTTGGACTTCAACAGCTGTTTGCACATGCACACACATGCACACACATGCACACACATGCACAACCCTAAACCCAGGGAGAGGAGGGGTGGTTGTAGCCCCCTCACCAGGGAGAGGAGGGGTGGTTGGAGCCCCCTCACCCGTCTCATTCTCAACTGCGACTCATCCGCCTTTGCATTGCCAGATGCATGCATGCACACATGCCACACATGCACACATGCCACACACCAAGGAGAACAACCACACGTGCCCCATCCTCCCCTGCGTCTTAACCTCTGCTCCCCCTCTTGGACCCACCATATGCATACACACATACACAACAGGCATTCTCGCTGGATTTCAACCGCCGTTCTCACATGCGCACGCACACGGGGGAGAACTACCACACGTGCCCGATCCTAGAGTGTGGCAAGCGCTTTGCACATGAGAACAAGCTGCGCATGCACCTGGCGTCAGCACATGGGGATAAACAGCAGCAGGTATGCTTATAACGAGTCACAACACTTGAGATTCTAATAATGAGTCACAACAGCGGAGGCACGAGAGCAAGCTGCGCATGCACCTGGCGTCGGCACACGGCAATAACAAGAGCATGCAGCAGCAGGTATGCTTACAACGAGTCATAACACACCTGAGGCACCTATAGTGAGTCCCAACAGACGGAGGCACGAAAGCATGCTGCTGCGCATGCATCTCGCGTTGGTACATGGTGATTAACAGCAGCAGCAGGTAGGCACCTTCTTTTGTTAGACTGTTTTTCAGTTTTTGTTCTTCCACATGCGCCGCCCTGCTTCTTCCACATGCGCCGCCCTGCTTCTTCCACATGCGCCGCCCTGCTTCTTCCACATGCGCCGTCGCAAGTACCTCCAAAAGCTCCTTCCCGTTCCCTCCTAGTCTGTCCCACTTCCACGAGTGCTCTTAGCTGCTCCTCCTCCCAGCAGCAAGGAGTGACACGTGACACGTCGCTCACCCCTCCCATGCGCTCTCATCTTCCTTCCCTTGCTTCCTTCCTCCCTGCCCCTCTCCTCATTCCGCCTCCCCTCTCGTCCTCTCCCCTGGCCCCCCTCCTCTTCCCCTGTGCATGGTCCAGCAGCGATCTGCAGCGCGCGGGACATTGGATGGTTTGTACCTTATTCCACCCCCCCTCCCCTCCCCCCTTCCCCCTCCGCCCTCCTCTCCCTTTACGCCTCTTCTCCTGTGTATGCCCCAGCAGCGATCTGCAGCGCGCGAGGGATCAGATGGGTCGCAAGACGAAGGTGCGGGGAGGTCGGAGAGGGAGGGGCGGAAGGAGGGCGATGGGCAAGGGAGAAAGAGTGAGGGAGGTGGTGCGGGGAGCAAGGAGAAGGGTGGGCGAGGGAGGAGGAAGCGAGAGGAGGAGGGGGCGGCAGGAGAGGGGAGTGAGAGGGGAGGAGAGGAGGAAAGGGGAGAAGTGGAACGGGGAGGGAAACGGAGGCGAGATGAGGCAGAGGAGGAGAGTGAGGGGGGGAGTGAGGAGGGGAGGGAGAAAGGGAGTGAGAAAGGGAGGGGGTCAGAGAGTTGGGTTCAAGGGGGGGAGGAGGGAACTGAGGGTGAGAGAAGGGGGTTTGGGAAAGGGGCAGAGGGGGATGGGGAGGGCGACGAGGGTGGGGATGGGGAGGGGGAGGAGGAGAGTGAGGATGGGGAGGAGAGGGGGAGTGTGGCTGATGGATCGCAAAAAGGAATGGCAACAAAGCGAGGGCGATTCCTGAATTCCATTTCAGAGTCAGGAGAGGGAGGCGGGGTGAGGGAACCCTGGGGTAAGGGCAGCGGGAGGGGGAGGGGGCGGGGCAGGGGTCGTGGAAGGGGGAGGGGGAGAGGGCGGAGAGGGGAGGAGGCAGGAGGGGAGGCAGGAGAGGGGGACGTGGCGGAGAGCTATAGAGGGAGAGGAAGGGGAAGGGGGAGAGGCAGAGGCAGGGGAGTGGGGAGGGGCAGAGGGAGAGGGAGAGGGAGAGGGAGGGGGAGAGGGGTAGGTGGGTCAACAAGGGAATGGAGTGATGCTGAGAATGCCCGTGGCACTGGCGGGTATGGTGGGGGTGCGGGTGGTTATGGGGGTGAGCTTGGAGCAGAGGAGGATGGGGAAGGCATGGAGAGGGAGAGTGAGCAGGGTGATTATAATGAGGGGGAGGAGGTTACTGGGGCGAGTGACTTAGGCGATGGGGAAGGGGAGGAGGAAGGGGAGGGCGCGCTGTATGATGAAATGGGGAGTGAGGAGGAGGGGGCGGATGATGGGGGCATGGGCAGTGATGCGCTGGATGCTGGTGCTGAGAGTGATGGGTTCGGGGAGGACATGGGGGGTGGGGATTCGATGGGGGAGGGGGGGGGCATGGAGGGGTATGGTGGAGAAGAGGAGGAGGATGAGGGAGGGGAGGAGGCGTGGCGGGAGGAATTGGGAGGCGAGGAGGGAGAGGGAGGGGGAGGAGTGGAGGGAGGGAAGGGAGGAAAGGGTGCAGGGGTGAAGAAGGGCCCGGGAGGGCAGGAGGAGCAGGAGGAGGTGCGGCCGAAGAGGCGGCGGCGGCGGCGCAAGCTGGAGGAGTCGGAGCGCGTGTTTGCGTGCGGGGAGGCGGGGTGCAGCAAGCGGTACTTCCACGACTACAAGCTGCGGTTGCACCTCAAACACTTCCACGGCGTGGCGCTCGCTGATGACCCACCCGCTGCTGCTCATGGCGGTGCTGGTGGAGGGGACGGGGGAAGGGGTAGACGACGAGGGAGAGGCGTGGGGAGGGGAGTGGGGAGGGGAGTGGGGAGGGGAGTGGGGAGGGGAGTGGGGAGTGGAGAGAGAGGTGGTGGGAGAGGTGGCACGGGTGTGTCAGGGTATGGTGAGGAGGAGGAGTTTGATGGTGCAGGGAGTGCGAGGGGTGGGTATGGGGAGAGTGTGAATGAGGAGGGGTATGAGGATGAGGATGGGAATGATGACTATTCCAGGGGTGACTATAACGAGGAGTATAGTGATTATGGAAGGGAGGAAGATGTTGAGGAAGACGAGGATGCTTATATGGAGGATGTGCCGTTGGGGCAACGCCGGCCTCATTCTCTCTCCTCCTCCGCTGCGCCTTCCTTGGAAGCTAAGGGTAGAGCGGGGGGAAGGGGCCGTGGCAGGGGCAGGGGAAGAGGGAGATGGGGAGGGGGAGAGAAGGGGGGGCGAGGCGGGGGTGGGAGAGGAGGGAGAGGGAAGAGGGAGGTGATGGGTGGAGGTGGGAGAGGGGCAGGGCATGACAAGGGGGGAGGGGAATGGGGAGGTGGAGGAGGTGGAGGGTCAGGAATGGGTGCTGCTGGGGGGTATGTGGAGGATGAGGGGGACTACCAGGAGGAGGAATTTGAGGAGGAAGGGTTTTATGACGAGGATGATGTGGATGGTGGTGGTGATGAGCGGTATTGAGTCTGATAGGATTGTTGTATGCGGATTGAGTTGACATGCCGCAGCACACGTGATGTTCTGGCCCTCTTATTGGTGGATCAGCCTTGCAGAAGACAATCATTTGTTTCTTACCATTTATTTTCGTTCAAGTTCGTTATTTATTGCGTAGCTGGGGAGCTGCGCAAAAGTTGCTTCGCTGAGAGCGTATATAATTACGCAATTTTGTTAGCAGCACGCTAACGAGGATAGCCGCACACAAACGAGTTTCCAAGCTCACCAAATCGGGTAGTATGATCAGATGTTGAGTTGAGAGCAAGCCAGTTCCTTTCCTCCCACGCAGGTGATACTCACGGCTGAAGCGATCTCAACAACACCACTTTTGGCTACTCGCGCACTTTTACGCACATTCTAGTCCCGAAATAACTTATTCTGCTGGTAATTCTTCGTTCTGCTTGTTACGCTGCTGCGCGCTCGCTGTTCCCCGCCCGGCGCCCCTCCCCGCCGGCTCGCCTCCTGCATCTCTCCCTGCCGGCTCGCCTCCTGCATCTCTCCCCGCCGGCTCGCCTCCTGCATCTCTCCCCGCCGGCTCGCCTCCTGCATCTCTCCCCGCCGGCTCGCCTCCTGCATCTCTCCCCGCCGGCTCGCCTCCTGCATCTCTCCCCGCCGGCTCGCCTCCTGCATCTCTCCCCGCCGGCTCGCCTCCTGCATCTCTCCCCGCCGGCTCGCCTCCTGCATCTCTCCCTGCCGCTGCTGCCCCTCGTTGCACCTCGCTGCGCCTCACTGGCCCACGTTGCCCCTCGTTACGCCTCTTCCCATGAGCGCCACGCCGCACTGACGATCGATCGCCACCAATGCTCCACGCAGATCACGACAAGGCAGGGCGCTGGTCTAGTTGGTGAGGTTGCGCTCTCCTTTCTCCTCCCATCCCTCTCCGCCCCTCTACGCCCCTCTCTCCGTCCCTCCCCGCCTCCCCCGCACCAGCCGCACACTCACCCCCCAAAATGGCGGGGTACAAGCGCACCATACCCCACTTTGAAACGGGTATTTACAAATCGCCGGGGGTGTTCCTGGCGGACTCGGAGTACGGGCGCGCGCTGGACTGCCTCGTCAAGGCGTGCGCGGACTTCTTCATCCTCAATACAGACAGCTCCGAGAACTGCAAAATACTGCTGGGGAAGCGCAAGGTGGAGCCGCAGCCCGACTGGTGGTGAGCAGTGGGGTGCGGTCCAGTGCGGTTGAGTGGGTTCGGTTGGTGGTGAACCCAGGGGTGTGGTGTGGCTGACTGCGGGTGATGCAGTCGGTGGTGGGGCGATGGGCCAGTTGAAGCATGCCTTGTTCTGATTGAAGCATGCCTTGTTCTGATTGAAGCATGCCTTGTTCTGATTGAAGCATGCCTTGTTCTGATTGAAGCATGCCTTGTTCTGATTGAAGCATGCCTTGTTCTGATTGAAGCATGCCTTGTTCTGATTGAAGTATGCCTTGTTCTGATTGAAGCATGCCTTGTTCTGATTGAAGCATGCCTTGTTCTGATTGAAGCATGCCTTGTTCTGATTTAAGCATGCCTTGTTCTGATTGAAGCATGCCTTGTTCTGATTGAAGCATGCCTTGTTCTGATTGAAGCATGCCTTGTTCTGATTGAAGCTCTGAGGTGCCTCAACTCAACTCAACTCAACTCAAAGAACGGCCGAAACTCATTCATCCCATCGATTCCATTGCCCACTCTCTGCCACGGCACTCATGTGCGCTTGCTTGGTACCCTCTGCACCCATCCCAACCCCTCTCGCGCTTCACCACCTGTGTCCACCCGGCTACTCCTGCCTCTTCCGCCCTCCGTTTCTCACAACCCCACGTGCCCTGCTGCTGCCCCACCCTCCACCCACAACTTCCCAATCCGTCCCGCCAGCCGTCTCAGAGCGTCAACCACATGACACGCACTGTGCTGTCCGCTGTCCACCAGGGGCACACGGGGTCGCATGGGACCGGACCAGCCTAGACTTCAGAGCAATCGTGCTGCTGCTGCCTGCCTAGACACCTGTTCCTCTATCCCCCTCGCCAGGTTCATGGGGGGCCGCATGCGGCCGGGGGAGGCGTGCGCTGCTCTGTTGCCAGTCCCAACCCTTGTTCCTCCCTTTTCTCCCACCACTTGCGAAAACACCTTTTCTCCTCCCACACTACTCTCCTCCCTCGCAGGTTCATGGGGGGGCGCATGCGGCCGGGGGAGAAGCCAGAGGACAGCGTGGTGCGCCTGCTGAGCAGAGAGCTGGGCGTCACGGTGGAGCCCGGTGCAGTGCGGTTCCTGAGCGTGCACTCGTACTGGTGGTATCGCCGCGTGCAGGCGCCTGTGGAGAACGGGACGTGCGACATCAGCGGCGTGTTCACTGTTGCCATTGGGGCCGACCAGGCAGCTGCTATCAAACTGGACGAGGAGGAGTACAGTGATTCCAAGTGAGTTCTTTTGAGGTGCCTAAAAGGCACCAAAATGGTTGCTATAAGGTGTGCAGGGTCCTCAAAAAGCATGCAGGCGCCTGTGGAGAAGGGGACGTGCGCCATCAGCGGGGTGTTCACCGTAGCCATTAGGGCCGACCAGGCTGCGGTGATCAAAGTGGACGAGGAAGAATACAGCGATTTTAAGTGAGTACTTTTGAGGCGCCCAAAAGGCGTCCAGGCAACTTTCGCCTAAAAGGCGTCCAGGCAACTTTCGCCTAAAAGGCGTCCAGGCAACTTTCGCCTAAAAGGCGTCCAGGCAACTTTCGTGGAGAACGGGACGTGCGACATCAGCGGGGTGTTCACGGTGGCTATTGGGGCTGAGCAGGCAGCAGCAATCAAGCTGGATGAGGAAGTGTACAGCGACTCTAAGTGAGTCACTTTTGCTTTGTCTTGGCTTGTTCCGTCCATCCTTTCCAAGTGAGTTGCATAGTTGACTTGATTGAATGCAGTGTATACACGTGAAGAGTGAGCTTATGGATTGAAAGTGGTTCCATCAATTTATTTATGCCAGTTCACCTGGTGCTACATTGAATCCACTGCCTGCCTGTCCGTGTCACGTTTGCTTTGTCTTGGCTTGTTCCATCCATCCTTTTCTTAAACCAGTCAGACACTGCCGTCTTCATCTCTTAACCATCTCCCGTCCCTCCTTTCCAAGCACCCCTCCCTCCTCCGGTTCATACATGAGTGGGCATAGCATACATCATCAAGGGAAGCACTACCATCCCGCACAGACTCTGCACTTTGCATCTCCGCTCTCTCTTTCACCCATTCCTCCTCCCATGCACCAGGTGGGTGAGCATATACGACATCGTCGACAGAGAGCACTACCATCCCTCCGTGCCTCATCGCCCCTCATTCAAAGTGACTCACTCCTTTGCATCTCCTGTCTGCACCGCACCCCCCTCTTATGCACCAGGTGGGTGAGCATAGCGGACATCATCAACGGGGAGCACTACCACCCCGCCCTGCGCCAGTCAGCCAGGTACCCCAGTCACCCTCACTGCACTGCCAGTCGCTCAACTGCCTGAGTCACCAGTGGACTCCGCACAGGCCCTTCTCATGCCACCAATCTGCTGGAAGCTTTCACATTGCTGCCTTTATAAGCCCATTCATGCCTTTTCCAGGCTTCTTACTGGTGGATCAGAGTTTTGTTTACAGTGTAGAGTTGCCTGACAGTCCGATTTCCAGCCTGCTCCATCACCAATTTGGAGGCCTGATCACATCATTGCCCACATGGCCTCCCATTCTCCACATGGCCTCCCATTGCCTGTGAACCCCACTCCTCCCTTTCCTCCCCTCCAGGGACCTCAAGGCGCGGTTTGCCTGGGAGCGCCTGGAGAGCCTCGTGAAGGGCGGTGCCGGAACAGATGCAGAGATAGCAGAAGCTGCCAGGAAGTTGGTGTCACTCAACTGAGGTGTTGTTTGCATGGAGTAATTAGTGGTTGGTCTTATAAGGGGGGCACTGGTTTCACATTCCTTTATAGCACACTCTATTCTTTAAATTCTGTAAGTGGACCATTCCATTTACGTAGTCCATATAGATACATCGATCTTCTGTGCAAAGTACCTTGCATAGTTATATTGGGTATACACCCCCCACCCCCATCTCCCTCGCACCACTGTCACATGCTGCAGCGTTCTCTGCAGCAGCGACAATACGTCATCAACAACAGTAGCCTCAGCAGCATTACCAATACAACCGCCACTACTTGAACCAAGAGAGTCAGCAGCAGCAGCCGGGATCGGTAGATAAAGGCTGTAATACGGTAAGTCAATGGAGGCTGAATGGATATACTGTATAGCCCCTGATAGTAGCACATATGCGCTTATGATAAAAGTGATTTTTTTTAAGGGGGGCGCTGGTAATTGAGTACAGGGCATAAGCGCATGCGCCTATATAACGAAAAAATGAAATTTGCTTTTAAAGGTACCAAATTGAAGCCCTCAATAAGGCAAACACGCATGCGAAACGTTCACACGTGGGATCGTGCATGGAATGCAAGCGAGAATAACCGCGCTTTGATTTCCCACCGCACAAAAACCGTCCCGATGCAACGCACCTACAGAGCTGACTTGAAACCTGCCGTGCGGCCCAATCACATCGTCATGCGTTGCTAAGCAGGAGAATCTTGGCCGAACCCTCTAGAAGGGTGTCGAATCTCCCCTGCCATAGCAGCATGGCCGGTGTCGCGAACCCTCCTTTGCGGGTTCAGGCAAGGGGGTACCCGTCTCTCATTGAGGAGGACCCCGAGCCGCTAACCCGAAGGGGTCCCCTCCAAACATTATTTCTTCACTCTGTCTTGCACTTTTTGCATCAGTTTCTTTTTCTCGCCCGCCTGGTTGCGGAAGCCATGGCGGAATTCTCAGGCGCGCACTTTCTGTTCAAGAAGAAGCCTACCGGTAGGCTGGTATAGCCGTGTCCCACCAGAGCCACCAGAGCCACTACGGCCTCCTGCGCCACCTGCACCGCCTGCTCCTCCTACGCCTCCTCTTCCTCCTGTGAGAAGAATTGAACGAGAATGGAATAACTATGAACGAAGTGAGTACAAATAGGAAACCCTAATTGGGTTGTACCCCCTATGGGATACCCCACTATAGCCTACACAAATAAGTAAGCTATATGTTCTGACACACCCCCATAGGCAAAGTGGGGGAGAACAAGGGGTCACAAGACCAGTCAAGCAAAGCAAAGCAAAGCTCAGGGTGGATCACAAAGTCACCACACATTCCGAGCACAAGTTCAAGGGCCACAAGGCGAGTTCACATGCAAGATCATATATAGAGATATACAAGAGTCAAGCAAGCAAGAACAAGAGTATCTATAGGTCAAGGTACAAGCAAGGTCAAGAAGTGAGCAAGTGAGGCAAGATAGGCACAAGACCCAGCTGCGTGCAGCAACGCTGATGATCACAAGGCGCAAGTGCCTTGGTGAAGACATCAGCAGTGTTGGCCTCAGAGGCCACGTACGCAAGTCGCAACTGTCCACGCTGCTGCAGCTCACGAGCAAGAAAGTAGCGGAGAGCAATGTGCTTTGTCCTGTGCTCCAGTCGCTGCTCTCGACACAAGGCCAGCATGGCCTTGTTGTCTACGTACAGCACTCGAGGAGAACGAGGCGGCTCTCCAAGGTCGGTCAGCAGGTAGGTGAGCCAGCAAAGCTCCTGAGCAGCCATAGCCCCGGCGTAGATCTCAGCCTCACAACTGGAGCCGAGAACAGAAGACGAGCGGGTAGCTCGCCACGAAACAGAGCCGAAACCAAGGCTGAAGGTGTAACCCTGTGACGACCGCTGCGTAGCCTGGTCTTCAGCCCAAGAAGCGTCCGCGTGCCCAGTGAGGACCACTGGACTGCGCCCTCCAAGCACTAGCCCCATGCCCGACGTACTGCACAAGTAGCGCAACACCCTCTTTGCTGCAGCCATGTGCTCTGGTCGGTGTCTCCCAGGAGCAACATAGCGTGCGAGAATGCTAAGAGGATATGCAAGGTCAGGTCGTGTGCAGGTCATCAGGTACATGAGGCAGCCAACAAGCTCTGCATACGGACCACTCGACTCTACGGACTCATCCGAAGGCAGAGCTGAGAGCGAGTGGCGAGTAGGCAGAGGAGTGGCCTGAGGCGAGGAGTACGTGAAGCCGAAGCGCTGAAGGACCTGCTGCACCATGTGTGACTGAGTCAGGGTAATGGTGCGGCGTGCTCTGTCCCGGGTGATCTACAGGCCAAGGTAGCTGCGCAGTTCACCCAGGTCAGTGCACGTGTGTCTCTTCTGCAGCTCAGACTTCACGTAGGCGAGTCCAGCAGTGTCAGCTGTGGCAAAGACCAAGTCGTCGACGTACACGAGGATGTAGAACGGCGGCAGAGAGGTGTCGGTGCGCAGAAACAGCGACGGGTCGGCAGTAGAAGGAGCAAACCCAAGTGCCGCCAGAGTAGTCCTCAGTGTGTCGTGCCACTCACGTGGCGCCTGGCGGAGACCGTAGACTGGACGCCGGAGACTCCACTAGGTACCAGGAGGGAAAGACCCAGTGAAGCCAGGTGGGCGACGTAGCCAGATCTCCTCGTGCAGGCTGCCCTGCAGGAAAGCAGTGCTGAAGTCGAGAGAGTGCAGCTCGTAGTCACGATGAGCAGCAACGTGCAGCAGTACCCGAAGAGTGGTCATCTTCGGGGTGGGGGAGAAGGTCTGAAAGTAGTCAACTCCCTGTCGCTGACTGAAGCCACGAGCCACGTAACGCGCCTTGAAGACAGGCGGAGAACCCGGCGGCCGCTTCACCCTGAAAATCCACATGCCACTGACTATGTTCGCCCCAGGAGGGGGAACAGCGTCAACGTAGGTGCCTGTGGACTTCCAGGAAGCCATCTCTGCATCCATAGCTTCCTGCCACTGAGAGGAGTAGGGACCCTCTATCGCCTCCGCGTAAGAGCGCGGAGTCGGGATGTCTAGTGCATCCGGGTCTCCCTCAGGGGCTAGAAGTACAGACGCGAGATGAGGTGAAGCGGCGGCCAGACACTGGAACTCCTCCTGCCCGTCCTCAAGAACGTCCGTGCGAAGGGCACACTCACCCCCGACGGACGGAGGACACGCAGACTCAGACTCAGCGACAAGACTAGCAGCGTAGTCGAGACGACAGCGCGCTGCAAAGTCGACGAGCTCAGTGACAAGGGCAGACGCAGCAGAAGACTCGAAAGAAGGGTCAGTGACAGAAGTAGCAAGGAGACGCGTGACAGTAGGACTGGCAGCACGAAGAGAGTCCGACTCCGGGTCGGCAAGAGCAGGAAGAGAGGAAGCAGAAGGAGAAGGCAAAGGGGCACGCAGAGGAGCACTGGACGGACGCAGAGACATCCGGTGCGTGCCAGGGACAGGAGGAGGACGCTGACGCGAACCGCGGCCACTAGTGCGTGCAGGACGAACAGGCGACGCAGGACGAGACGCAGGCTCACGACGCTCAGTAAGACCTCCAGTCGGACCAGTGTAGGGAGAAGGAGCAGGCAAAGGGGAGGCAGGCTGTAGCTGTGACTGGGACTGGACAGGCTGTGGACCCTCTAAGGGAGGAGGAGGAGGACCAGGAGAAGGGGTAAGACCAAGAACCTGCTGCAGGAGCGGAACGAAGTACGGTCGGGGCCGTGTGGCGACGCCAGAAACAGCAGGGACAGCACCAGTACCCCCAGCAGGAGTACCCGCTCCAGCAGCACCTCCAGCAGCACCTCCAGTAGCTCCAGAACCCCCAGCAGCACCAGGAGCACTGTCAGTCGGACCGCCAGCAGTAGTCCCAGCGCCAACACCCTCAGCAGCACCAGCTCCAGGAGAACCCTCAGGCCCAGCAGCTCCAGCACCCACAGCACGAGCACCTCCGGGACTCGCGGCAGCAGCACCCTCTGCAGCCGAAGAACCTCCAGCACCAGCAGCACGCCTCCAGCGCCGGGCAAACCACTCACGAAGCTCCTGTGGGGAGAGTGGCTCTCGGCGAGACGAAGCACCTCCAGGCGGAGAACCTCCAGGCGAAGAACCTCCAGGCTCAGCATCCTCAGGCAAAGCACCTCCTGGAGGAGCACCCCCAGTCTCAGCACCCCCAGGCTCAGCACCCCCAGGCCCAGCACCCCCAGGCTCAGCACCCCCAGACTTAGTACCCCCAGGCGCAGCACCCCCAGGCTCAGCACCCCCAGGCTCAGCACCTCCAGACTCCGCACCCCCAGGCTCAGCACCCCCAAGCGTAGCACCTCCAGTCCCAGCACCCCCAGGCTCAGCTCCCGCAGCAGCACCAGAGTCACCAGTGACCTTGACAGGCTCGACCGCGTCTACCTGGGACACACCTGAAGGGGTAGGACCCTGAGGGGGGAGGGGGTCTACCGGGGGGGGACCTGGCACCAAGAAGAGCGGGGGCGGGGGGAGGGACGGAGTGCGGTAGGGGAAGAGGCGGTAGTAGGGTACCGACTCGTCGAACGTGACGTCCTGGGAGGACAGAACACGTCGAGAGGTGGGGTGGTAGAACTCCCACCCAGGGGCGTCGGGGGGGAACCCCAGGAAGACGCAGGGAGCAGCGCGAGGGGACAGCTTGTCCGCAGACAAGTCGCGGACAAACGCCCGAGATCCCCAGACCCGGAACGCCGACGCATCCCCAACCTTCCCCGTCCACAGCAGGGCTGGGGAGGTCTCCGGCCTGGAGACCCTGGGGTGGAGGTTGATCTGATACGCCGCGTACCTGACCGCAAACGGCCACAGAAAATGGGGGGCAGCCGCATGCATCATAGACGTACGAGCGACGTCCATGACCATGCCAATACGGCGCTCTGCAATCCCATTTTGCTGCGGAGAGTCCGGAAGCGTGAAGGTCTGACGGATGCCTCGTGCACGACAGTAGGCTCGCAGAAGGCCAGAGGAGAACTCTCCGCCTCTGTCCGAGTGCAGACGCAGAACAGGAAAGTCCGAG